TACACACACACACGTGCCCAGCATGTGTTTAAGCCGCCGGGTCTGGGACTTGAACCGTGGTCGACTATATGGGAGTCCAGCGACATAGCCATTATGCCAACTGCTGGTCCCAGTAATTAATATTTTTTTAAATAAATTTACTTATTTATTTCATTCCATTCGTCATTATTATTATTATATATAGAGCACATGTGCTTGCCAGAAAGACAGAGAGAGACAGATACAAAGTGAGAAATTGTACCTCCCCCCCCAAGTGGGGATGACCACACCACAATCCTTTCTCCATTCTCCTCTCGGGATCTGGGGCACACATGCACACACGCTCGGCTTGAGTTTAAGCTACCGGGTCCGAGACTTGAACCGTGGTCAACTACATGGGAATCCAGTAACATAGCCATTACATAACTGCTGGTCTCATTATTATTATTATTTTAATTTGAGCAGAGAGAGATGGAGAGAGAGAGAAAAAGAAAGTGAGAAAGCAAGCCACTAGGTCTGGGACTCAAACCACGGTCAGCCATGGGGGAATCCAATGTCCCTAACCACCACAGTACCTCCCGGCCCCTCTTTTTTTTTTTTTTTTAATCTTCACCTTTCTGACTGGGGTTAGGTGGTATCTCATTGTGGTTCTGATCTGCATCTCCCTTATTGTGAGGGATGTCAACATTTTTTCATATGCTTTTTGGCTGTTTATATGTCTTCCTTAGAGAGATTTTTGTTCAGTTTATTTTCCCATTTTTTAATTGGACTGATCATTTTTTTTTTTTCAGGTAAGCTGCTTAAATTCCCTGTGTTTTCTGGTTATGAGTCCCTTATCTGAGGCGTAGTTTACAAAAATATTCTCCCATTCTGAGGGTTGTTGATTCATACTACTACATCTTTTGCTGTGCAGAAACTTCTTAACCTAATGTAATCCCACTTATCGATTTTTAGGATTATTACCTGTGCTTTGGGGGGGGTCTTATTTTAGAAGTCTTTGCCTACCCCAATGTCTCCTAGAGTTTCTCAGTGTTTTCCACCAGTAATTTTATACTTTGAGGTCTTAAGTTTAGATCTTTGATTCACCTTGAGTAGATTTTTGTTAATGGTGAGAGATAGGGGTCCGGCAGGTGGAGTGGTGGTTAAGGCACCAGACTCCCACATGGCCTGATGTGTTTTTCAAGCCACTAGGGCTGGAATTTGAACTACAGGTGGCCTTATGAGATTTGGCTCCCTTAACTACCATGTTACAGGGCTGGCCCTAGAGTTTATGTGTGTGTGTGTGTGCTTGTATTTTGATACATTCATGAACATGTATGTATATGAGTCTAAGAACATATATTCTCACGCCGGGCGCGGGTGCGTGCGTGCCCAAGATCCCAAGAGGAGAATGGAGGAGAAGGGATTGCAGTGTGACCACCTCCCCGGGAGTGATTTCTCGCTTTCTGTCTCTATGTCTCTCTCTGTCTGGCGAGCGCACGCGTCCTATAGCGAAAATCTCTCCCAAAAAAAAGAACATATATTAAAAATTATATATATACTATGTGCACATACACAAGGAAACTTCCCCTTGTTTTTGTGAGAGATTCCGATCGTCAGTTTCCTTTCTTCAAGGACTTAGCATGTTCTTGAAGGCCGTGCCTATGAAACAGGTTAGAGCTTTGATCTTAGAAATTGGGAAGTAAATAACCTGGGTTTGCTAGAATCTGAGAGGTGGAATTACGAGGGCTACATGGAGTTGGGAGTGAGCTTAGTCCAGCGTGTTGTCCGTGCGAAGCTGAGACCCGCATGTGCACAGTCTCACTCTCCACTCTCTTCCCACTGCCATGGTGAGCGCACCTGCCACGTCTCCCACCCTGCTCTGGCTGCTCTTCCATTTCTGTGCACTTTCCAGCTGTGAGCGCTCCTCCTTCTCCACTCCATCCGAACCCCCTGGCTTTCTGACTGGCTGCCCTGCTTCGACCCTTCTCCCAGAGGTCGTTCTCTCCACTGAAGCCCCCCAACGCCTCTGCCCCAGGCCCCTCTGAGGGATCCCCATCTCACTCTCAAAACAAAGTGTGACGTCCTCACACCAGCCTGCAAGCAAGGCTTTGCATCATTAGCCACCATTGCCACTTGCCACCCCACACTCACCTGCCACGCTCCCCTGAGCCCTCCACTCCAGTCATGGTGGAGTAGGCACCAAATGCCAAGGGCATTTCTACCTCAGGGTCCTGGCCTTTGCTGCCCCTTTCCCTAAAATGCCCTTCCTCCAGTATCTGTATGGTTTCACTTTGATTTTGCTCCCTTGTCATTTTATGAGAGAAGTATCATCTGCTATAAAGTAGCAGCCTTAGGGCCAGCAGGTAGTGAGGGGGTTGAGGCACTGGACTCCCACATTGTCAACCGTGGTTTGAGTCTTGGGCCTGACAGCTTGCTTTTTCACTCTCACTTTCCCTCTCTGTTTATCTCTGGTGAGTGTCTGTGTACTATATCAAATTAAAAAATAATATTAGTGGGGGACTGGCAGGTGGTGTGGTGACTAAGGGTGCTGGACTCCCACATGGCTGACTGTGGTTTGAGTCCCAGACCTGGTGGCTTGCTTTCTCCCCCCCACCCCCCCACTATGTCCCTCTCTGGTCAAATTAAAAAATAAATGAATAAATAAAATTAAATAAAATAATTCTTTAAAAATAATCATATTAATAAATAAACTTAAATAACTAATTCTTAAAATAAAATAAAGTAGTAAACTCAGCCACCCAGAGCCCCTGTCCTGCTTACTCTGCTTCCCTGTCACTACCCGTAGACGTCATGCAAACACACCTGTTACATCTGTCCTCCCCAGCTGGGGGGAATGCCCGCAAGGGAAGGCCTTCCTCTGTTCACTGCTTAGCCCTGGAGCCTGGAACAGTGCAGCACATAGCAGGGACTCCGTACATATTTGCTTCATTGATTACATGAATGAATGAAACTGACAGGATTCATTTTGTTTTCTTCTTTTTCTTTGGAAGAAACAAAGTATAATAAATCCTTTTTTTTTTTTTTTTTTTTTTTTTTTTTGGGGCCCGTATTTCCC